GAAAGTAAATATTGGACTTGCAAGGTGGCAAGTGGAAGTGAACGATAATGATGCTCTGTAACTGCTATCTTAAAACAACAGTTAATAATGGATTACATGACTAGCTTATGTAAAGGTTCATCACATAATCACTGGTGACTGGCTTCCCTTAGTTCCGTTGAGTTTTATAGCATCTTTTAGCTAACTGTTGCAGCTTTACCTTCACCATTTCAACTTAAATGGGGGTTCAGTGTCTTGCCCAAGGACACTTCGACATGTAGACTGCACCCGATTGTTGCCATGAAACTTTGTGGCTTTGTGACAATGCTGTAAATACTATTTTTTAGCAAGAAGACATTGTAGACACTAAAACGCTATAAGAAATGACACCAAATTTATTATGTCTAATTTATTATCCTTGTGCCCGTGAGTATCTTGGTCACTATTAGTATTCAGTTTTGTCCTCTGTCACTTAATGGTGCACCTCTCAACGTAATGAAGAATCAAGTCTATAAGATGAAAAGGCAGATTTAGTGCAGTTTATCACTGTGTGACTCTAAAAGATTTGTTGTCAGTGGGATTCCCCATTTTTGTTTCCCTCACTGAGTCTATTTGTTTTTATCATTTGAGGAGGCTATCAACTAATTCATCAACATAAATACCTGAGTGGCACACTGTCAGTATGCTTCCAGATGTTGCTGGGAAATCTTTAAGTTATTCTACTAGATTATGTTTGTATGCATTAAAAGAGACATGAAATAAGTCAGAGAACTGAGTGAGGTAAAAAAAAAAGCACCTGAAAGGGTGGATAGAGGTACAATAACCACAACAAATAACAAATAAGCACCTAAAATATCAAACTATTCCTTAAAGTTGCCTTATGATTGTTTACCTGCCGTGAGGTCTTTCTAATTTCTTGGCTTATTGGGAGCACACAACATTGTCATATTATCAACTTCTAGAGCTGATATAGCAAACCTGTTGGCCAACAGATTTACATGTCCAGCAGACACAGAGCAACAACAGCATCAATCTAGAATCACACTTGTGTTCACCATGGTGAAATGAAATTCACTTCTGCTCTGTGTTCTGTTTTGGTCATCAACAACTCCCAAGGAGAGTAGCTGACTCTTCAGCTGTTACTGTAAACAGTCCACTGTGTTGAACTGCTAGCTGCTTGTTAGAGTTTTTGTTGTTGTTGTTTTCTCTGAAAACAGCTGCATGCTGTTCCTAGAAACAAGGCTAGGGAGAGGTACCGTATGTGAATTAGCCAAAACAACAAAGATCCGGGGCTGTAAAAATCTAAACAAGGAGCTACAAGGTGCTAAAACATTCCATAAAACTGAGGAAAAATGGTGATAGTTCTCTGCAGGTTCATCACTACAAGTCAGCCCTTTCACATTTCATAGTCATTTGACCATGGACAGACTATTGAACAGGTCCAAAGGGATCAGGAGGCCTTTGGACCAGACCCTGCGGAAAGTCATTCAGCAACAAATTGATCAGCAAAGAGATGTAAAATAAGCACAAGGAGATGTAAAACAACCTCACAGAGAAAAACAAGTTAAACGTAGAATGTAAAACTAGAATTACCTCCCTCCACCAACCAGGCAAATTCACTGACCATGACCTTTGACCTTTGGCCACCAAACTCTAATCAGTTCATCCTTGAGTCCAAGTGGACACTTGTGCCAAATTTGGAGAAATTCCCTCAAAGTGTTCCCGACATATCATATTGACAAGAATGGACAACATGAAAAACAGAATGCCTCCGGCAGCAACAATCATCAACGTGGAAAGAAACGTAAAGCCACTAAAAAGAGAATCAAAATAAATAATAAGAAATGAAAAAAGACCAAAGAGTCATAAAATGTACCACAGCTAAATATAGACACAAAATATCTACAAGACACACACACACACACACACACACACAGAGACGCAAAACAACCACAGAAATGGTCTTGTTCCTACGTAGGAAGGGGGCCTTTAAATGTCTTTTACCCAGCCTCTCATAATCCATCCATGTGTTTGATTAATGGTACATCATTTCATCAACAAAAGAAAACACACCAGGTCAAGTTGAAGCTGAGGCAACAGTTGTTAGAAAGCCTACTACCCAACTATGTGTAACTCCTACACCCTATACCAGGATCCAATCATCTTACGCTTTGTGAATCTAGACACCAGAGGTGTCACTTTCCAAATCCTTGGAGAGCATAGCAGACACCATAAATAGAAACAGAAGCAGAGCCTTGTTAAATGGATTTTTGCTGATCAGAACCAGCAAAAAACATCATGTCTGATCATCTCAAATATGACATGACAAAACACAATCAGCATGCGTCACTGATTTACAGAACTCATCTCATCCTTTTGATCCACTCAAACTTTTAACTTCCAAATGTTTAATTTATATTCACAAGGACATACAGTATGATGAGTTATGTCTATAAGTCAGCAAGTAACAGCTTAAAAACAGGCCTCTCTTAGTGTGAAGCCACCAACCAAAGACAGAATGTTACAGTGACTCACAGCCTTATAAAATGTCATTATCCCTTAGATGTTTTTCCATTATTACCTCAATGAGTGTGTTAAAAATGAATGAATGGCATACCACTGTTCATTCCTATCTTGGTCGGGTACACAATACATTTATTTAAGAACGTACCTTAAGTGTCATTCATTTTTGAAAACCAAATATTGTTAGCTTGTTTACGTATTGTTTACACACTGATTAAAATGATGTGAAACAGTATCTGCTCATACGTATAGCCAAATAATAATGGCCCTACTTATTTAGTTTGCTAACATAACTGGAGATGCTGGGAAGGTATTGGCAACATAACTACAGTAAGCAGCTCAAGTATTTTGCTTAGTAAGTTATATAACATTTTAGAGAGGTCAATGTTTACTATAATGATTGCTAGCTTGAAAATTTGATGATGGGTGTTCCTACTGTTCACAGATTTACAACAGTATGTATAGGTTATCCCCTAGACCCTATTCAGGAATAAGTGGTATTGATAACAGATGGATGGATGTATAGGCTATACAGCTGTATATTGATATGCCTTTCAAAACTTGATTTTGTATTTATTTATATGTAATGTTTACACTGTTGCTTGGTTCACAGCTTACAGATGCTAGTTGAAGAATCAGCCAGGACATCGATGACTCAAGACTATCGCCAGCTGACCACAGCGTTTCCTCTGCAGCTTACTACAAAGCATATGTGATCACACAAGAAAGGCTGCCTCACAACTTTCAGCCCAGTTCACTAAGGTAATAGGGAGATGGTGAGGAAGAAAACAGGGTCTAGCAAATTTCAGTACTTCCCAGGGAAAATGGACCACAGAGTTAATACAGTGGCAAGAAGACGTAAGTGAACCAATTGGAATGTCCTGGTTTTCTATATGAAATGGTCATAAAATGTGATCTAAGCAACACAATGTGTTGGTCTCTATTTTCATTTTGATATGAAACATGAAAACCTCATGTTTCCTGGAGAACTGCTGCTGTTCAGTAAAATAACATAAAATAAAACAAACACTGCAGTGTAGCTAAAGATTGCCAGAGGACACCTTGACAGTCCACAACACTTTTGTTGATTGATGAGACTAAAGTAGAATTGTCTGAGAAGAACACACAGCACTACATATGGCGTAAAAAGTACGGTGGAGGGAGCATCATGATTTGGGGCTGCTTTGCTGCCTCTTGACCTGGACCACTTGCCATTGTGGAGGGGAAAATGAATTCCCAAGTTTATCATGGGGTCCTATGGGATAATGTCAGGGTGGCTGTTGGCAAGCTGAAGCTCAGAGCAAGCTGGGTGATGTAGCAGGACAATGACCCTAAACATTGAAGTAAATCTACAGAATGGCTGCAAAGACACAAGAGCCGTCTTTTGGAGTGGCCCAGTCAGAGCCCAGACCTCAGCCCCATAGAGATGCTGTAGAATGAGCTCAGAGGGCCGTTCACACCAGATGTGCTGAGAATATGGCTGAGCTGGAGCAGCTCTGTGAGGAAGAACGGTCCAAAATTCCTCCTGAACGTTGTGCATGTCTGATCCACAGCTACAGGAAGCTTGTTTGAGGTTAAGGAGTTTCAACCAGTTATTATGTCCAAGGATTTTTCCCACTTTTTCCACCAGCACTCTGAATATTTAATGGGTGTTTTTGATAAATACATGAAAAATGATAATTGTGAAGCCCCAAACACATTTTATGACCAAATCATGTAGAAAACCAAATGGTTCCCTTATTTTTTCTTGCCACTGTAATTGTTTAGAGTTTAATATACCCATAATCACAACCAGAAATGGGAATTTTATCTCAAATTCAACTGTTTCCTTGTCTTTTGTTTTTAAAAATGTGTTTACAATGATGAATAAATATTACAAATGTTAATCAATTCATGTGGGTCATAAGGATTCTGTCCAAAATTATGGAGACAGCATATTGTATATTTATTATTAATAACAGCATAGTTTTTAATCCAGGGTATTTTTACCCACTTATTGAAGATTGTGGTTTTCAATGGCATATGCTTCTACAAATTATAGATTATAAATACATGAAAACACAATGAGCTGTTATAAAGACATTACATCTTGCCTAAACCTCTGTTACAATAAGCACAAGGATAACACCTGATTATTACTGTACAGTACTTATGATGCCCTTTGGCTGTTGCTAGGAGAGTTTCATACTTTATGAAGTCTTACAACACTGCATTATTGCAGTATTTTACATGTATGTTATTAATGACCTGTGATCCACTATATATGGATCAGGTATTAGCATTATTTTAATGACGTGCCTTTTAACTGACTTTTGACTGACACTACTTTCCTGCTCTTCTATGAGATTATAATGCCAACCACACACAGAGATTCATGATTATGTTCATTAGAAGCAGCATTTATTAGTGCCAGCTGACTTGCATGTCAGTAAATGTCATGGATCTAGTCTGTAACTAGTTAAGGGAACACCTTTCATGGTGAAACAAGTGACAGTTACCTCCGATATCCGGCCGCAGTTTCTTGTCATATTCTTTGAGTAAATTGTTAAGTATTTCCGTGGCGTCGGTTTGCTGTGATTTAGGAGCCAGCATTTGGTTCACGGTGACATCCTCGTAGTCCTCTTCGTACTCGAATGTTAGAGAGCTGTAAAGGCAAAAAGAAAGAAGGTGGATGAAAAAGGTAGAGGCACTGACACAGGGTTAAAACACGCGATGTCATGTAGTGTGTTCCACAGAGTGCGTGCGTGGAAATCACTTGTCATTGAGAGTCCTTCAGATGAACTTTGAGCCACATAAAGTTTCTTTAGGAGACAACCGACAAACATTATGCGGTGCAGTAGGAGAGCTTAAGTTGCAATATCATCTCAACACATTTTCTTTTACTCTGTACACTGTACGTGTTTTAAACAGAAGTACACCACTTACCAGGTATGAAGGGCTGACAGAAGTAAGACATAAGCCAATAATTTGGATGTCATGTTTCTTGCAGGATGACAACAAGCAGAGATGCGCCAGAGGACGGTGCGTGTCGGTGTCTGGACGCGATGGTCACAGCTGCTCAGCGAGGGAAAAGCCCTTCATAGTTTGTAATCCGAAAGCAATGTCACTCATTGTTAAAACCAGGCGTTGTAAAGTCCTTCCATCGCAGTCATTTTCAGCCGAAGGAGCAGCTTTCTCACTTGAAAGGGTTTCAGTTGTGTCCTCGATTACGGACACTGCTGGTCTTACGCAGGTGCGCGCACTCTGAATGCGTCCACTGAGCGCCCAATTAACCAAAACTCCTCTACGGCTCAGTCTGCGTCACTCTACTTTCTTGAGGACTAGTTTACAGTTCAAAGTATTACATAGGAGACTTTTTTCTTCCTAATTACATTGAATAGGTGTCATATAAATAAAAAACAAAGAAAGAAAGATTAGAATGCGCTGGGACAATATTTTAATTATATTTCGAACAGGAAGACGAGGCATCCATTTTACTGTAACTTTAAAGTAAACATAGATGTGCTAGGAATATTGATATGATTCCAGTTAACAGTATTAGTAAGTCCTACATGGAAAACATAATGGTATGCTTTGCTTCTTCTTTTTAAAATGTTATTATTTATATTTTATAATGTATTTTTTGATGACATGCAGTGTGAACACAGGTGATGTGGCCTCTTTGGATCTCTCTTTAGCTGCCACATATTCAGTTGAAAGTGATCATATCAAAGTGCTGCAAGAGCTGCTTTACAGCTGTCAAATGCTACTATTTGACATGCTACAGTATGGATCTGCCTTTGTAGCACTGTTTGTAATTGTAATCAAGGGTCCTTGTCATGCTGTGTTGCCTCTCAACAATCCATTTCTCATTTCACACAGTGGTGCGCTGACAATTACCTACAGCTGAATGTTGGCAATGCTTTGCACTTGCCTTAACAAATGATGCCAGTCACCCATTATTGCTGTCAGGTCAAAGATATAAAACTTTAAAATGTGGAAGCGCTCACTTTACCCAAAGTTTGTAGAGTGTTCAACAAGCCCTAAAAGCTACACATCCCATATAGTCACTCATCCCTTCCCTCTTATTTGACCCAATGGAGCATCTCCTGAAATAGCACTCTTATATTGCCAGGTGGAATTGTAAGAACTTCTCCAACATTAAAGACAGTGTATGTCATACAGGCAAGTTTTGGGGATTTCAGTAAATATTCAATGTCTGTGTTGTGTGAATATATATGTTTTGTTCTATCTATCTATCTATCTATCTATCTATCTATCTATGGTGTGACCATCCACTTCAGTACTTAAAGGGATACTCAGGTGTATAGCACTTTTATAAATATAGAGGACTCAAACTCAGACAGATTTTTCCTTACAAATGATTTGATTTGATTTGATTTATTCTTTCAAGCATGTAAAAACAGTTTATATGACAACACACATACACATAATCCAATATCAATTTGCTTATACCTTGTACATGCTTGAATGGAGTAGGAAGAAGTCAGACTTATCCAGTCCTACCCCATGACATCATCTTACCATCATTGGTTTGCAAGCAATAAATGATTCACTTCTGCACACACACACATTATACTAAAAAAGAATATAACAGTGTTAACATTCTTAAATCACACAA